GCTGCCCGGTCGCTGTTGTTGACGTTACTCCCGTTTCCCCAGCGCGGTTTTAGCGGTAGAGGTTTCCCCGGGGCGTGTTCCCTCCGCCAGCAGACATGGAATTCGCCGAGCTGATCAAGACCCCACGAGCGGACAACGTGGTCCTGCATCGCCCGTTCTACCTGGCCGTGGAGGGGACCCTGTGTCTGACCGGACATCACCTCATCTTCTCTTCACGACGTCAAGATAACGCCGAGGAGTTGTGGCTCTTGCACTCCAACATCGATTCTATTGAAAAAAGGTAATGTCTCCTCATTTCCTTATCTACCCACACCTCGTTGTGTCTCCTCATGGGTTGAAAAGTGGTTGTCAAGACTGGGTGGCACCTAAAGTGGGTCATATTGATTGGAACTGGATGATCTTTAAGGTCCCTTCCAATCCAAACCATTCTATGATTCTGTATCCAGGTGGTGGAGAGGAGAAAGGGATTCTGTGAACGGCCAGTCAGTTGGATCATGGGGTAGAACGTTGGCACAGGGCAGGTTGATTCTCATTCTGTTTGGGTATTAATGGACTGTGGCATCTTAAGATTATTTTCTTGGTTCCCTTAAGGACATGGACCTGTTAGAACGAGTCCAGAGGGGGCCACGAGGATGATGCGAGGGCTGGAGCAGCTCTGCTGTGAGGACAGGCTGAGAGAGTTGGGGCTGTTCAGCCTGGAGAAGAGAAGGCTCTGTGGAAACCTTCTAGTGGCCTCCCAGTACCTGAAGGGGCTCCAGGAAGGCTGGGGAGGGACTTTGGCCAAGGGCAGGGAGTGAGAGAACAAGGGGTGATGGCTTGAAAGTGGAAGAGGGGAGGTTTAGATTAGATATTAGGAAGAAATTCTTTGGTGTGAGGGTGGTGAGACAGTGTCCCAGGTTGCCTAGAGAAGCTGTGTCTGCTCCTCCCTGGAAGTGTTGAAGGCCAGGCTGGATGAGGCTTTGAGCAACCTGGTCTAGTGGAAGGTGTCCCTGCTGCTGGCAGGGGGGTTGGAACCGAAGGAGCTTGACGGACCCTTCCAACCCAAACCATTCTATGATTCTATAGATAGAGCTGGAATTTTTATATTTAAACACCTTTGTCAGCAGGTCTCTGTCTTAATTGTTCAGTGGGTTTCATCAGTAGCTCTTGAAACATTCTATGAAGGATGCTTCTCTACCACCATTCAGTGGAGATGGAAACCAAGGTGCTGGTGGAGTGATTTTCCTTGGGTCACTCAACCAAACTGATGGCAGAAGTGGCCTGTGGACTTTCTCAGCCCTGGATCAGTCTCCTGCTGCTCAGTACTTACTCCTCCAACTGCTTATGGAGATCAGTGACCCTTTTCCTTGTGGGACCAACGTGGTGAAGCTGAGTTGGAGCTGCAGCACTCTGTTTTATTCTTACCCATCCCTTTTTGTTACAGGAACTTCAGAGGTGAATCTTCTTACCATCACTTCTGTCTGTTTTACATGTACCACTGCCCCATCCTGCTTCCCTCGTTGAGTAACAGTCCCATCTCACCTGGTCTTTGTCTTCTGCTTCCTCACCTCGGTCCTTTTTTCAGTTTGCTCATAATATTTTAATTTCTTTTGTTAATTACAAAGCCATCCCCTGTTTTCCTTGGCTTTGAAGGAAATCTGGAAGAACAGACCTTCCTTTCTGCCAGCAAGAGTGGAAAAATTGAGCAGGAACAATTAAAAATACCAGGTTGCCTCCGAATTAGAGAGTGGGTGATGTTCTGGATGCTGATGAAGTTTGTTCCCGTGTTCCTAATTGCTCTTGAGTGTTTCTGAGAAATGCTGCATCTTGGCCTGAGGGTGGAGAGGAACAGAGTGGTGGAAGCCTCAGGAAATTTGTTCCCATCTCGTACTGCTCAGTCATCAGGGCAGTTTGGCCTTTCCTTACTGCTGGTAGTAAACTAGAAGTAGCTCTGTTTTGAAAATTATTACAGTCAGGCATCTCTCCTTTATTTTTTTAATGGCTTTAGTTGCATTTACATTGTAAGTTAATACTAATTAAGCAACGATATGGTGAGGGAGCGGCGTGTTGCTGGCTTAGTGCATGATTTATAGCAGAGTTAGTGATGTCTGCAGATACTCACATCCTTTATAGAATCATAGAATGGTTTGGGTTGGAAGGGACCTTAAAGATCATCCAGTTCCAACCCCCCTGCCATCAGCAGGGACACCTTCCACTAGACCAGGTTGCTCAAAGCCTCATCCAACCTGGCCTTAAACACTTCCAGGGAGGGGGCATCCACAACTTCCTTGGGCAACCTGTTCCAGTGTCTGACCACCCTCACAGTGAAGAGCTTCTTCCTAATATCTAATCTAAACCTCCCCTCTTTCAGCTTAAACCCATTACCCCTTGTTCTGTCACTCCCTGCCCTTGGCCAAAGTCCCTCCCCAGCCTTCCTGGAGCCCCTTCAGGTACTGGAAGGCCGCTATAAGATCTCCCTGGAGCCTTCTCTTCTCCAGGCTGAACAACCCCAACTCTTTCAACCTGTCTTCATAGGAGAGGTGCTCCAGCCCTCAGATCATCCTGGTGGCCTCCTCTGGACTTGTTCCAGCTGCTCCAGGTCTCTCTTATGTTGGGGGCTCCAGAACTGGACGCAGTATTCCAGGTGGGGCCTTACAAGAGCGGAGTAGAGGGGCAAGCTCTACTTATTGCCAGCTCTAGTTTCTAGAAGGTCTCTAGAGTAGACATCTCACTCCCTGAGAGTAGCTTTGTGTGAATGTAACTGCAATAAAACTTTGCCCTATAAAAGGATAAGAGTATGTTCTTCTTGGTGCTGGAGAGGATGGAATAACAAGGCTCTTAAACCAATAAAAGTTGTAGAAAGGTCCAGTTTGGCACAACTTCAGGTTGTTAGTGCACAACAACTGTGAGGTTCTCCCAGGTTCATAAAATCTCTTCTCTCACTGTCATGATATGAGTGGTTTTAGTACAATACAGTGTTTTCCCAAATGATGATGGTCATCAAACTTCTTCTTAAATTTTGGTAGGTTTTTAAACAACTAGGGCCACAAAGATGATGAGGGGCCTGGAGCATCTGCCCTACAAGGAGAGGCTGAGAGAGCTGGGACTGTTCAGCCTGGAGAAGAGCAGCCTGAGAGGGGATCTGATCAATGTCTATAAAGATCTGAAATGTGGGGGCCAAATGGATGGGGCCGGGCTCTTCTCGGTGGTGCCCAGTGACAGGACAAGGGGCAATGGGCACAAACTGGAACAGTGGAAGTTCCAGACAAAGTTAAGGAAAAACTTCTTTCCTGTGAGGGTGCCGGAGCCCTGGGACAGGCTGCCCAGAGAGGCTGTGGAGTCTCCATCCCTGGAGATGTTCAAACCCACCTGGACACTTTTTCCTGTGCAACCTGGTGTAGGGAGCCTGCTTTGGCAGGAGGGTTGGACTGGATGATCTCCTGAGGTCCCTTCCAACCCCCACCATTCTGTGATTCTGTGAAATATGACCTGTAGGGTTTGTTGAGAAGTGGAATGGTCTCTAGTGATCTCCTGTGGTGCTTCTGCTGAAAGAAACATGGAAAGGAAACGGAGCCCTGGTGATGTATTGTAGCTGTGCTGTGTTACTACGCTGAGGATCTGTGAAGTATCACCACAGCAAGGGCAAGTGATGCACAGGCTGGGGCTGCTGGAGGTGCAGAACTTTTCTGTCAAAACACCCGTAGTTCTTCCTTTGGCACCACCCAAATTGTAGTTGGTTCTACACGTGAACTTCTGTCTGCACAGAAGAAATAGATAACGGCTTTTCAGCTGTAATAATAATATTAAAATAAATTGCCTTTTGTAGTGCAGGTGAAGCAACCCAAAGCTTAGCAACAGTTGTCCTCTTGGAGCATGTGCACCTCTGCCCTTGAGTGTGGATGGTCTAACTGAGGGTTAGGCCATGAGGGACTGTGTGCAAAGAACAAGGGATGTGTGTCCAGAGAAGGGCAATGGAGCTGGGGAAGGGTCTGGAGCACAAGTGTGCTGAGTTCCCAGCTGAGGGAACTGGAGTTGTTGAGCCTGGAGAAAAGGAGGCTGAGGGGAGACCTTGTGGCTCTGTGCAAGTCCCTTGGAGGAGGGTGGAGAGAGGTGGGGGGGGGTCTGTTCAACCAAGGCCCAAGGGACAGGACAGGAGGAAATGGCCTCAAGTTGTGGCCAGGGCAGTTGAGATGGGATGTGAGGAAGAATTTCTTTGCTGAAAGGGTTCTGAGGCATTGGAAGGGGTTGACCAGAGCAGTGGTGGAGTCCCCATCCCTGGAGGTGTTCAAGAGACGTGTAGATGTAGCACTCAGGGATGTGGTTCAGTTGGCATGGTGGTGATGAGTTGACAGTTGGACTGGATGATCTTAGAGGTGCCTTCCCACCTTGATGATTTGACTGAAGCGAGGTTCTTCACATCTTGCCTGCTCCTGCAAGCTCTGCTATGGTGTGTGAGGACAATCTGCTGCTTTTCCTTAGGTCACTGCTTTGTGAACTAAAATAAATGTAAAGAAAACATTCAGTTTCTGTTTGGGCATCCTCCTGCTTTCAGGTAGGTGAGGAGGACTGGAGAGGGCGTCTGTGTGCTGTTTGTTTTGTAATGTCAAGCTTTTTTTTCCTGAGTTGACTCAGTACCATAACAAGCAGTGATAAAACCTTAACTTCTCCAAGGTCTGCAGATCAAATAACTCTGTGGCACTGCAGGTATCAGAAACCAAACTTTCTTGTTAAAAACAAAGGAGTGTAACGTAGCCAGGCTGAAATGTTATTTTAAAAATTAAATTCAACTACAATGTTGGTAGCAAGTTCTTGGTGTCAACACAGTAGTGTAATGAAGCTGGAAAGTTGCAGCTGAAGCTTCCAGTGCTGTCAGAAAATACCTGAGCATACCTTTTATTTCTAATTCTACTTCTTTATTTCTACTTTAAAGCAAAGCTGGGAGGAAAACCTTCTCTTCTTTATCTTGTAATACTCACTGCTGTATCGTGGGATGGAATTAAAAACAACAAAAAAAAAAACTAGAGCACAACTTGCAAATACCAAATAGAGGGATTGTTTTGTTTGGTTTTTTTTTGAAAGCTGATATTGCAGACAAATTACTACTTAAAGGCATTTTGACTTGTAAGCATATGTTGTGAGAAGAGCTATAATACCTCATCACACCTTAGACTGTGTTCCTAAGAGACTCTTCCTTCATGTCTTGCTGTAGGTTTGTGGGCTCGTTGGGTACCATCATTATCAAATGCAAAGATCTGCGCATTATCCAGTTGGATATACCTGGGATGGAGGAGTGTTTGAACATTGCTAGCTCTATTGAGGTAAGAATTCATAATGATGAATAACTCTTGTGTTCTTAGATCTTGATCAGACTTCCAACTTCACAGCTCTTTTTTCAGTTATGAAGGTTTTCATTGCTGTTCTGGAAGGCAAATGAGAATTTGTGTATTTCCTTTCAATTGTTAAAATATTGCTTGTAAGTGCTTTTTAAAAAACAAATGAAACCCCTCACATCTTTTCTTGATCAAATTTTCTTCATTCACACCACCTGGAGTACTGCGTCCAGTTCCGGGGTCACCAACATCAGAAGGACATGGACCTGTTAGAACGAGTCCAGAGGAGGCCACGAGGATGATGCGAGGGCTGGAGCAGCTCTGCTGTGAGGACAGGCTGAGAGAGTTGGGGCTGTTCAGCCTGGAGAAGAGAAGGCTCCGGGGAGACCTTCTAGTGGCCTCCCAGTACCTGAAAGGGCTCCAGGAAGGCTGGGGAGGGACTTTGGCCAAGGGCAGAAAAAGGGATGATGGCTTGAAAGTGGAAGAGGGGAGATCGAGCTGAGATATGAGGAAGAAATTGTTTGGTGTGAGGGTGGTGAGACAGTGTCCCAGGTTGCCCAGAGAAGCTGTGGCTGCTCCTCCCTGGAAGTGTTTAAGGCCAGGTTGGATGAGGCTTTGAGCAACGTGGTCTAGTGGAAGGTGTCCCTGCTGCTGGCAGGGGGGTTGGAACTGGATGAGCTTTAAGGTCCCTTCCCACCCAAACCATTCTGTGATTCTATAGATTATCTTGCTGTAGCATTTGTGAAAATGAAGCTCAGCTTCATTATGCTGCAGCATGAGGAGGCAAAACCAAATCAGACTGAGTTTCACGTGTCTCAAACAACATTAAGTGACTGAGTTTGAGCTCTGTGGTTTGTAATCAGGTCTGTGTGATGCAGAATGTGTCCCATCAGTTATACCTGTTCACTGTGCATCTTCCTCACCTTTTGGTGTGCTGTCATGTAGCGTAGCCTGCAGAAAGATGCTGGGCTTACAGATCCCCAGTTGCAGTTAAATTGTTATAATCTGCTTTTGTTTTTCATGTACATTAAACTACCCTGCAGGTAAGTCAGCATTTCAAGCTTGATGGCTGTATAATTTTGGGTGGCCTAAGTTTGCATCACCAATATTAAAGGAAAACTCTATTTGCTCTTTGTTTTCTTGACTAAAACAGCAGTTTGGATGAACTAAGTGTTTATTTCTCACCCCCACACAGGCACTTTCCACTTTGGATTCTGTCACTCTCATGTATCCCTTCTTCTACCGGCCCATGTTTGACATTGTTGAAGATGGCTGGCGCTCTTTTCTACCTGACCAAGAATTTGAGCTCCTCACTTCTGTGGTAAGTTGGATCTTTGAAGATTTGCACGGGCTCTTGGCTATACTTGTGCAAGTAGTTTTGTGAAAGTGTCTGGAGTGGAAATCCTGGATGGTAAAAACCAAAACAACATTTATTATGTGATTGGATGGAAGGTGAGTGTTGTTCAAATATTCACTCTGTAAACATCAGGCTTTTCTGTTTATGTGCTAAATATTCCTATTTAGCACCTGTGTTTTACCTTCTACAAATGGAGTTTTGAGTTACATGGGAGGACGTGAAGGTAAGAGGCACTTTTGTCCTTTGGGGATGAACCCTCTTTATTATAAGAATGAATTTAAAATTGCTAAGGACTTAGCCCTCTAGGAAGATGACAGGAGATAAAGATGCTCAATTTGAAACATGCTTCACTCTAATCCATGCTGGGGAAATACTGGGAATGTTCAGAGAGCAGGGAATTTCCAGTTGTATTCTTCCAGATGTTGATATTATTTTGGTACCTGTAGGGTAGGAATTGTTTTTGTGGTATTGCCTGTTGTATCAGTTATTCAAACTTCATTTTAGGGTGCTGAATTTGATATAATGGGAATTGGCTTGATTGCAGGAGCCCTACCTGTTTTATTAGAGTTAGCATCCCTGTGTTCCAGGTCTTTGTTTCATATTGAATACATGCACTTGCTGCATCATCTTAGGCTTCTGAGACCACATCCATTAGTACAGCATCAGAGAACATTGATTTTTCTTCTTCTTTTCTGCAACCCAGCTTGTCTGCAGCATTTATCCCTTCCTGTTTATGACTAATAACTGAATAATATTATTAGCTTCCCGAGATTCATATGATGAAATCACTAAAAAATTAAAGGAGTTCAGAGATGTTTCTGGTTTTGTATCATGATTGGAATACTCTGCCATGTCCCATCTTCATCTGCTGCCAAAACACATACAAACTGACCTGTTATAATAACTAGCACCACAGTTTTGGTTATAATTTCGACTAGGGAAGTCAAACATACAGTCAGAGTTTGGAGGCAAAACAGCAGAGGCTTTCCCAGCTCAGCAGAGGAAGCGTGCAAGCATTTCAAGGAGAATCCAAATGCCAGAAGCTGAAGTGCTGTCTGATGAGAAGGGAGGAAGTGTGAGAGCAGGATTGAAGGCAGCAGAAGGAAATCCCTTGGTGCTCAATGAAAGATTGCAGGAGGTGGTTCTGCTTCTGTTCACATTTTGCTTTCTATCTGTAGCTGAAATCCTTTTTAGATTTCAGGAATCAAATCATGAATCCATTGGTGTGATGCCTTTTTTTTTTTTCTATCAGAGGTTTAAGAGTGCTCTGATAGTTTATTTGTGGATCTCTTGGCTTTCTGAACATAAGCTCCATGGAAGGCTTACATTTCAAAACCAACTTACTTTATAGTGCTACATTTTAAGGGCAATAATTCATTTCTGTTGATTATTTCTTGTCTTTTAACCCAAAAACTTTAGATTTAACTCCTTTTTAACAAAATGGTGGCAAAAGCAATGTTCAAATGAGTCACATTTCCTTAGCAACAGATAAATATCTTGTTGACCAAATATTTCTTGTTCTGTAATTGAACTTTCCAATGTAACAGGCTGGAACAAGTAAATGGCTGATTAATTATTTTTTTTTTTTCCCCTAATAAGTCAAATGAGTGGAATTCAGAAGGTGACCTCCCTCTCCTTTAAATCATCCATCTGCATCTGTTATGCTTTACCTTCCCCAGTATGGTAACAGCTTGTCAAAACCTCCATTTCACCCCCACTGCAGCTCTAGTAATGTATGAATTTCACATTTGTCTACTACAAGAGTTGTTTTAGATACTCTGACACGTTCTATAAGGGCTAAGTCAAACTATAAAAGTTAAGATTTAAAAAAAGTTAGGTAATACATTAAAAAATAGACAGTATGTTATGGTATTATGCTATATAATAATAATTTCATAGAATCATAGAATGGTTTGGGTTGGAAGGGACCTTAAAGCTCATCCAGTTCCAACCCTCCTGCCAGCAGCAGGGACACCTTCCACTAGACCAGGTTGCTCAAAGCCTCATCCAGCCTGGCCTTCAACACTTCCAGGGAGGAGCAGCCACAGCTTCTCTGGGCAACCTGTTCCAGTGTCTGACCACCCTCACAGTGAAGAACTTCTTCCTAATATCTCATCTCAACCTCCCCTCTTTCAGCTTAAACCCATTTCCCCTTGTTCTGTCAACAAGAATGAATGTTCTGTGGGATAGCCCATATTTCACTCTTATCAGACAAGCATCAGTCTTTGCCTGCATCTGTTCTTATGCTTCTTGTCAGTGCCCAATCTGTTACTAACAGAGCTTGTTGCCTTCTACCTGTTTCTTGGGAATGGCCTCTGTCATTGCTGCTTTGCAGGATCCTTCAAGGTCCATGCTGGTTTCTAGACTTTCTTTTAAGGTCTATTAGTAGAGCTTGCTTTCTTTAACACTGTTTTGTAGAAAATGACCTCTCCTAGCAATTACAGGTTTTGGGAGGAAGAATAACTTGTTTTAGCCTTTCAATAGTGCTTGAAAATCAGTATCTCTAAGCAAGTACTAGGACAAGGAAAAGAGAAATGTAAGAGTTTAAGAAAATGCTTCTAACTATTTTTTTCTTGGAAGTCCTCCCTCCTTTCTGCCCACTCTTCCACCATTTCACAGAATCACAGAACAGTGGGGGTTGGAAGGGACCTCAGGAGATCATCCAGTCCAACCCCCCTGACAAAGCAGGTTCCCTACATTTTTTTTCACTTGCTACTTTTAACCTTAACTGGAGTTAGCTTTTTATGATTCCCTGAAGTCCAGATTTCTTGCTGGGAGAAGGGAATGTTATCTTTTCTGAGTTCCACACAGCATACTTACCTGATGATGTTTGAAGATGAGGTCCTCCTTTTCTCTTTCACTGCAGTCCTTGCTGCTTCCTGAATCTCCATCTACTCTTCCTGTTAGTAATGGCAAATTTTTTCTTCCAAACTGCAGACATAGCCCAAGCAAAAGCCAAGAAATGACTTGCACTCTTGGGTTTTTACTGTCATCTGATTCATAATGGAGTATATTTTATATTTTAGCAGTCTGAAGCTGGCATTGCAGAGGTTAACGGGATGTCTGCAGAAGTAGCTATGCTACAGAAGATAAATGGGTGCTAATTGCTGCCGTGCTCCTCCTCCTTCCCATGTCACAGTAAATTATAACTGGATGACATAACAGTATCATCTGTCTCGTGTTATAAATGGTGAGGAGAGGAGGTTATGAGCAGAGTTAAATTACCAAAGTGGGAGATAAATTGGGTCGATACTCTTCCATTCCTTTTCATACTGATGATATCAGCGACAGCCAGTCTCTCAAAAACCACACCACAGGCTTTTGATTTTGCCTTCTCTACATTCTATGTGGCCATAAGGTATTTATCAGTTCTTTTCTATATCCATGCCTATTTTTTTTCCATTGTAAACAAATTACACACCATCATATGAAATATGCTGTAATTTGACATAGACACCCCAAAAAGCTATAAAAAAAATATATCATTCTTGGTGCATTAAAAGCATAAGTTGTGACCAGCTGGCCTCCCTTATGTGCTCCAGACCTTCTTTCATCTCTGCCTATGATGAAATTGCCAGAGTCAATTTAACTTTGCATCTGGGAGAACCTCTGCTTTTTATAAAGTGTAGATGTTGCCCAAGGAAGGTTGCCCAAGGAAGTTGTGGCTGCTCCTCCCTGGAAGTGTTGAAGGCCAGGCTGGATGAGGCTTTGAGCAACTTGGTCTAGTGGAAGGTGTCCCTGCTGCTGGCAGGGGGGGATTGGAACTGGATAATCTTTAAGGTCCCTTCCAACCCAAACCATTCTGTGATTCTGTGTTCAGAGAAGCAGTTTTGAGGCGAATGAATAATGAAATAAGCTCACAACAGGGATGGTGCAAGACTGAGTGGGCTACTGAGCACAGAGAGCAATTGCTGTTCTTGATGATGATGATGAAACACACAGTGTGTGCCTTTCCCAGCATCATCTTCTCAGGCTGCCACCAAAAGGGATGATTTTACTGTCTCCTACACCACACATCCCGTGCTTTGGATCTACTGATGATGAAATAGTGCTGCGAATCAGATCAGCTTGTTCATCTGATGGAACTATTTCATTGCCAGAAAACCTTTCTAACTTGATCCTAGTTTTCCATTGGACCAGTGAGCCAGTCAGATTGGTTTGTATAACCAGGTGGCACTCAGGAGGTGTATGACAAAAGGTAGTGAGTCTCTGGAAGAGAGGAAAGAGGAAAAGAGGCCTAGTTTTGATCAGAGCTGGGTGATTAATGCATGTTAAACCAACCTTCCTGAATTGACGTGGGTTTTTTGTGTATTCTGTTACTGCATAATTTAACTGTCATGCTCTTCTCTTACTTCCAGTGATACCTGCTTTATCTTCCTGCCTTTTTGTCTTAGCTGAAGCTTTCTTTGAGCACAAACAAGCAGATTTTTTGGTGTGTCTACATGAGTCTCTGCTTGCTGCAGTGGCATAAAATTATCCAATGGTTTGGGCTGGAAGGGACCTTAAAGATCATTCAGTTCCCATCCAGTTCCAACCCCCCTGCCATCAGCAGGGACACCTTCCACTAGATATTCCAGGTTGCTCAAAGCCTCATCCAACCTGGCCTTGAACACTTCCACGAAGGGATTCCCTTAAACTTCTCTGGGCAACCTGTGCCAGTGCAGATGCTTCCCAGTCTGTACAATGCCTCCCAAAATGCCTCACAAGTGTGTTACCTAAGGTCTTGTTTGCTTCCTCACACCTGTGTCATGTCAGTGCATAGGAACAAAAAACAACCAGCCAAACAGAAAAAAACCCAACAAACCACCCCACCTTGAAAGCACTTGTCTGTCCTCTTCAAAAGGTTTTTATATTTCCTTTTAACTTCTTTGTGTCTGGAGCTTCTCTAGGCAAATTCAACTGCCATTTTGGTGCTCCTTCTAAGAATTTAATGCTGCTGTTAAAACCAAAAGATGTTGTAGAGGATTCTGGGACATTTTCCCCACCAAGACTTCTGCCAGCAAGGTTTTTTTGGCCATAAGTAATACAGAATAAGGATGCACTGACTGAAGATGCAGTGCAACCAAGCCACTGTCCTGCTATCACAGAATCACAGAATGGGGGGGGTTGGAAGGGACTTTAGGAGATAATCCAGTCAAA